AGCCTGCTGAACAATGCATTCATTAAGGGCAATCTTTTAATCAGCCCAAAGTTTGCTGATTATAATTATTCAATTTTATAATGAATGAAGAGTTCAGGTCATTATAATTATGATACTGTAATAACATACCTTAAAAATCTTCTCTTTCTGGAGGAGTTCTCCAGAAGGAACTCCTTGGAACGGCCTCTCTTGCCTTCAAAAATAAGGGATACGTTTTCCTTGGTTTCTGCATCTTCCTTATTGCTGGTAATCGTGAGAATCTCATAAGCTTGAAAGTTCGGAGAAAACACCAAATTAAGGCTCCCAATTTAGCATTTCCCACTCCATGGCTCATAGTTCAGGAGCATCTTGAGGTTTTTAAGAAGAGAATTGGGTATGTCTAGTTTAATAAAAAGAAAGACTAGGGGTGACATGATAGCACCCCTATATCACAGGGGTTGCCATCAAGAAGTGGGGGTCAACCTCCAAAGCAACTGAAGGCAAGACAAGAAACAATGGATGGAAACAAATCAAGGAGAGAGGCAACCTAGAACTAAGGAGAAATTTCCTGACAGTGAGAACAATAAACCAGTGGAACGACCTGCCTCCAGAAGTTATGGTCGTTCCAACACTGAAGGTTTTAAGAAGAGATTGGACAACCATTTGTCTGAAATGGTATGTGATTTCCTGCCTAAGCAGGGGGTTGGATTAGAAGACTTCCAAGGTCCCTTCCAATTCTGTTATTCTAATTCTAACATAGATTGGACGGTCATTTGTCTGAAATGGTATAGGGCAGGAGTCTTCAGACTTGACAACTTTAAGGCTTGTGGACTTCAACTCCCAGAATTCCTCCTCCAGTCATGTTAGCTCAGGAATTCTGGGAGTTGAAGTCCACAAGCCTTAAACTTGCCAAGTTTGAAGACCCTTAGTATAGGGTCTCCTGTTTGAGATGGGGAATTACTTAAAGTCTTCCAAGATCCTTTGCAACTCTGTTATTCTGCATTATGCTTGGTACACAAGAGTCCCAATTTTGATCCTTCATGTCCCCAGAGGGTTGGACTCAGGGGTCTCCAAGCAGAGGTGGCCTTCAGCTGGTTTGGACCGGTTCGGGAGAACTGGTTGTTAAGATTCTGCACAGTTCGATGAAGTGGCAAATCCCACCACTGGCTGGCCCCACCCACCCCGCCCTGCCCCACCCCACCCTACCCCACCCAACCCTATGTCCCCTTGCCCGCCTTGGTCGGTGGCTTCAGCCCACCTGTGCCGCCCCAACTTGCTGTGAGTGACATTGAGTGGGCCACACCCACTCACTCACATGACACCCTCCCAGCCACGCCCACCCAGTCTTTAGGATGAACTGTTTGTGAAATTAGTTGGATCCCCACCACTGCCTCCAAGGTCCCTCTCAGTCCTCTGATACTATGATCTCCAAGAAAAGCGAGAAACCAGAAGAACCATTCTACCAATCTGTGTGTCTAAGAGTAACCTAGGCTTACTCAGTAATTACTTTCCACTTATGACAGCTTCTTAACTTTCTTCCCCTGCGACTTCCTGTTTATGACGGAAGTGCTTCCCTGACGCAGGATTGAGAGTTAAAATATCAAATTCAGCAGCTCGGCTCTCCTTCATTTAGCCAAACTATAACATTCATGGAGGAAACTCTTGGATGGACATCTGAATGTTTGATCTCCAGGAATATATGAAATTTAAAACTTAAAAACACATAGCGTTGAATTAATCTATTGATTTTGTGAGGTTTATTCAGCTGCTTTCTCTAAATCTCTAAAAGTAAGATTAAGACAACTGTATTGTTTTCTCTCTCTAGGCTTTCATAAGATTTGCTTACCCAACCATGCACAGAAAAAATGCTCTTTTTCAGTTTTTGTTTAGCCCCGATGTCCAGAAGACATTTCTGACAAGGAAACACAGTGTCATGGTCTCATTTATCCCATTTCCACCCAGCATGTCTGCTCACGGATGTGACAGGAATATGGCCTCAGAACTTCAACATTTCAAGAGGTGGCTAACAAAAATGCTATAAGCTGAAAAGGTCTTTTTCCAGTGACATTTCATCTCATTCCTCCCAGAATAACAGAGTTGGAAGGCACCTTGGAGGTCTTCTAGTCCAACCCCCTGCTCAGGCATTACACCATTCTATACACTAACACTAACTGTAACAATCTACTACATATTGACTTTACAGAAGATAATGTAGAAAAGGCATTACGTAATCTAAAACCATCCCTATCTATTGGCCCCAATGGATTATGTGCATACTTCTTTAAAAAGCTCTCCTCTGCCATAGCAGAATATATGAGATATCGTTCAGAACCAGCTCCTTACCAAACCTATGGTCCTTAGCTACGGTCATCCCTATCTTCAAAAAAGGTGACCCCAGCCTAGTTGAAAACTACAGACCAACCTCTCTGTGTTGCATCATGAGCAAAGTCATGGAATCAATCATTAACAAATCCACACCCTCCACTTAGAGTCAAACAGCCTACTTTCCAAAAAAAAAACAATTTGGTTTCAGGAAAAAATTGTCCTGCAATCTACAACTCCTACATTGCAAAACATATGGACTACTCTACTTGACCAGTTTAAAGCTATAGACACAATTTACATAGGCAAAGCCTTTGATTCAGTGGTACTTGACAAACTACTGTTAAAACTAAACTCTTACGGCATTTCCGGATCCCTTCATAAATGGATAACTGCATTCCTGTCAAACAGGCAACAGATAGTAAAAATAGGGAGCGCTATATCAACCCCTGCTCCAGTTAACAACGGTGTCCCCCAAGGCAGCGTTCTAGGACCCATACTCTTTATACTCTATATAAATGACCTTTGTGATCACCTTATAAGCAACTGTGTCCTCTTCATGGATGACGTAAAACTATTCAACACCACCAACAATGCTACTGTCCTTCAAAGTGACCTTGATTATGTGTCTGAATGGTCAAACATCTGGCAACTCCAAATCTTAACCAACAAATGCTCTGTCCTACACATTGGTAAAAAAAAATCAGTACACCAAATACAAGCTAGGCAGATATGACTTCGTTGACGACCCTCACTCTGTCAAGGACCTTGGAGTACTCATATCAAACAACCTAAGTGCCAGAGCTCACTGTAACAGCACTGCCAAAAAGACATTAAGAGTTGTAAATCTAATCTTACAAAACTTCAGAAATATCGAATTGCTAACTAGGGCATACAAAACCTTTGCTAGACCAATATTCGAATACAGCTCATCTGTCTGGAATCCGCACTGTATATCGGACATTAATACAATTGAGCGAGTCCAGAAGTATTTCATGAGAAGAGTACTACACTCCTCTGCTTGCAACAGAATACCCTACATCATCAGGCTTGAAATGTTGGGCTTGGACAACCTTGAACTATGCCACCGACTGTTGGACTTAAGCATAGTACACAAAATTATCTGCTACAATGTCCTACCAATCAATGACTAATTCAGCTTCAACCACAACAATACAAGAGCACACAATAGATACAAACTCAATGTAAACCTCTCCAAACTTGATTGCAGAAAGTACGACTTCAGCAACAGAGTGGTCAATGCCTGGAATGCACTACCTGACTCTGTTGTTACATCTAACCCCCCACTCCTTTAACCTCAAACTAATCACTATTGACCTCACCCCATTCCTAAGAGGTCTGTAAGGGGCGTGCATAAGTGCACAATTGTGCCTACCGTCCCTGTCCTATTGTCCCCATTTGCTCGTACCTATTTCCTGTATTCTTACTCATGTTTATACTTATACCTATTATCTTGTAAGTGATTGACAAATCAAATAAATAAATAAATAAAATAAAATAAATTTCAGACAATGGCTGTCTAATCTCTCATTCCACTGATTAATTTTCTAACCGTCAGGAAAATTCTCCTTAGTTTTAGGTTGCTTCTCTCCTTGATTAGCTTCCATCCATTGTTTCTTGTCCTACCTTCAAGGGTTCTGGAGAATAGGTTGACTCCCCTTCTTTGTGGCAATAATTGGAACACTGCTACCATGTCTCCCCCAGTCTTTCTTTTCATTAAACTAGACATACTCAGTTCCCACAACCATTGTTCATATGTTTTAGCCTCCGGTCCCCTAATTCACCTTTGTTGCTCTTCTCTGCATACTTTCTAGACTCTTAATATCTTTTTACATCATGGCGACCAAGACTGGATGCAGTATTCCAAGTGAGGCCTTACCAAGACATTATAAAGTGATATTAACACTTCATGTGATCTTGATTCTATCCCTCTGTTTATGCAGCCTAGAACTGTGTTGGCTTTTATGGCAGCTGCAGCACACAGCTGGCTCCTATTTAAATGATTGTCACTTGGACTCCAAGATCCCTCTCACAACTACGACTATTGAGCCACCTATCCTATACCTGTGCTTTTGGTTTTTCTTGCCTGCTGTTCAACTTACAGGTACGTTCTTTCAATTCCAAAATGTCATTATTGGCACAAGCCAGTTCCCGTATAATCTGGCCATCGTCTTCATCTTTTGCGAGCCAACGGTCACCCTGGAAGCGGAAAATTTTGTCCATAAGAGAGTCTTCAATGTCAATATATTCCAGATGCCAGCCTGGCGCGATTCCTGTGAGAACAGAAGAATTTTATTGGATAATTGAAACAAGAATTGTAGAGATTAGAGGAAGACATAGAAATGTATATGAACAATTAGTAATATATGGAAATGTGAAATATGAATAGCAGTAAGATTCATTTAACATACTTGCACTTAAAGTCTTTGAAAATAGGCTGGATATATTTATACTTATATTTGTAGATATTTATACTGTATTTGTTTATATATTTATGGATATATATTTACATAGGAGATAATGAGAATTAGAATTGTATACACATTTATATATACATTAAAATATATCAGCATCAATATAAAGACCACAGACAGTAGAATATTTATAGCATTTTGTTAATTTGCTTACTTGTATTTATTATTATTTGTATTTATTATGATTCATCATTAAGAAGAACTATATGTACTGTTAAAGATGACTGAGTTTTGTAAAAAGGAAAAAGTACAATAAAGATTTTTTTGTTAAAAAAAGAATATTGTTCGTTTGGAAGATGAAGTAACTTGATTAATACTAACAGCAGTCCTCGAATTAATGATCACAAGGGGGGTTGAAAAAAATCACATTTGAGCCTAAACATTTCTGCCTTCCAACTCTTCCAACTCTTGATATTCTGTTCTCCTTCATCTCAAAGACACCTTTTGGAAGTTGAGAAGTTGTGAGGCCCTACAGGGACTTCCATATGGGGCAGGGGGAGAAATAATGAAGATGCATCATGCCAACTTCCATCACTTTTGCAGGCACATCCGGATGTCGCACAGTTGTGCAAAGGATGAGCTGCCTGGATTGCAAGGCTGAAATGCTGCTTTTGTTATTTTGATGTGATTTACGGATGCTTCTGGGTCAGTGGTGGGATTCAAAAATGTTTTACTACCGGTTCTGTGGGCGTGGCTTGGTGGGCGTGGCAGGAGAAGGATACTGTAAAATCTCCAGTCAGAGGTGGGATTTGCCGGTTCTCTGAACTACTCAAAATTTCCACTACTGGTTCTCCAGAACTGGTCAGAAACTGCTGAATACCACCTCTGTTCTGGGTGCTTTAATAATCCAAAGGGCATCTACCTTATCTAAGAAACTGAATTCATCTAAGAAACTAACCGAATAACAGACTAATGGAGTTGGAAGGGACCTTGGGGGTCTTCTAGTCCAACCCCCTGCTCAAGCACGAGATCCGATACCATTTCAGGCAGATGGCTGTCCAATCTCTGCTCCATCCTCGGAGGTTTTCCAGAAGAGATTGGACAAGCATTTGTCTGAAATGGTTTAGAGTTTCCTGCCTGAGCAGGGGGTTGGACTAGAAGACCTCCGAGGTCCCTTCCTACTCTGCTATTCTGTTCAGGGGTGGGATTCAAAAGTCAGTTGAAATACCGGTTCAGCGAACCAGGTGTAACTTTAACATCCGGTTTGCTTGAACCAGTCCGAACCGGTAGAATTCCACCCTCTGGTTCTGTTATAATGAGGTTTAAGGTAGAGCAAAAGTAGGAATCATAGTTAACGCATAGACAGATTTTGGCTTGACAGCAACATTTGTGAGGCCTGCGTGCATGGCAATTAAGTGCTAGGTAACTAGCTTAATTATTATACTTGGGGTTTGCTCATCGAGTGCAGGGCCTCAGGCCATCTGTTCTGGATGGTGAACTTTTTAATCTTTTGATTAAGGAAGTGAATGAGAAGGTGGAGGACATGCTCATCAAATCTGTCGATGGCCCAAAATTTGGGAGGGACAGCAAATGCCTTGGAATACTGAAATCCATCAACAGAGAACAGAAGGGACAATAATAACAACAGGATTAAATTTACCAGAGACAAATGCAAAAATTCTTCATTTTAGAAAAGGACAACAAATGCATACTTATTGAGTGAAAGGATTTCTGGCTGGGCAAAAATACTTGTGAAAAAAGAGGCTGAATTATTTACAGTTTTTTTTTTTTTTTTGTTAAGAGCCATATGGTGTAGCTGGAAAAAAAAAAGGAAGTACAATTTTAGGCTCCAACGGAAACATAATTGGTAAAGTACAAGAAGGACGACTTCCTTTTTTTTAAAACCAAACATTCCTACTGTGTCCCACTCGGGGTGCCAGTAAAACTAGATCAGGTTAAAAAAGAAAAAGAATAATAGAAACAGCCGGGGCCCTAAAAAAATATATGAAATCCTATGAAATTAAGGCCATGGAGACTAAAACATATGAAGAACGGTTGCAGGAATTCGGTATAGTTAGTCTCAGAGGTGGGCTTCAGAAATTTTAGCCAAGGGTTCTCTGCCCGGTTGCTATGTGGGCGTGGCCATGGTGGGCGTGGCCTAGTTGGACTCCTGCATCGTGGTGGGGGGCGTTTTTGCCCTCCTTGGGCTCCGGAGACTTTCCTCGAGCCTCTGGCAGGACAAAAACAGCGTCCACGGGCTCCGGAGACTCTCTGGAAGCCGGAAACAGAACCATTTCTGGCCTTCCCAAACTTCTGGGAGTCCCGTTTTTCGCCCTCCCTGAGCCTCCGCACACACCCTGCACTTTCCTGCATTCAAAACGGGCCACATGGGGACTCCTCTGTGTGTGTGTGTGTGTGTGTGTTACAACATCATCAATATCTTGTCTACCACACAATCCTCTCAGCCGTTCCAAGAAGGCTGCACACCCATTGGCACCACTGAGGACACAGGCAAACCTACAAGTGGCCTCAATGACTCTCTAAAAAGAATACAAATGACCAACGGTCTGCAAGGAGTATCAATCCTTCCCTTCCCCACCATCCAATCAGAGTTGAAGAAGCTTCTCGGATGAGAAGCGAAACGTCTTCAAAGAACAACCAGAAAGTCCAGTTGCTTCTTCAAAAAGCACCATGGGGACACTCTGGTAGTTGTGGTTGAGTCACTAAGTTCGTGTCTGATTCTTCACAACCCCATGGACCACAGTAGGCCAGGCTCTCTGTCTTTGACTGCCTCCTGGAATCTGCTCAAATTCATGTTCATTACATCAATGACCCCAGCTAACCATCTTATCCTCTGCCATCTCATTCTTCTCCTTTGGCCTTCCATCTTCCCCAACATCAAGGGTCTTCTCCAAGGAGTCCTCTCTTCCCATTGGGTGGCCAAAGTGTTTGACCTTCAGCTTTTTCTGGTGAAAAGGTAAAGGTAAAAGTTCTCCTTGCACATACGTGCTAGTCGTTTCCGGCTCTAGTGGGCTCTGCTCATCTCCGTTACAAAGCCGAAGAAGAACCAGTGCTGTCCAAAGACGTCTCCCTGGTCATGTGGCCGACATGACTAAACGCCGATAAGGCGCATGGAACGCTATTACCTTCCCACCAAAGGGGTCCCTATATTTCTACTTGCATTTTTTACATGCTTTCGAATGGTTAGGTTGGCAGAAGCTGGGACAAGCAATGGGAACTCACTCCATTACACGGCGCTAGGGATTCAAACCGCTGAATTGGTTAGCTACCGCTTAAATTTGCATGTGCTTTCTTTTAGAGAAAACAAGCTTTTTTTTAAAAAAAATCACAAAATCATTTGTATTTGGATGGAGCATAATCCTGAACTTGTGTTACACTAAGACAATGAAGTGGGCAGGGCTCCAGCCAAAAATAAAATGGATTTTTTTTTTAAAAAAAGAAAAGAAATAAAATTGAATTACAGATAGTCCTGGACTTATGACCACAATTGAGCCAAAAATTTTCCATTTACTAAGCCAGATGGTTGTTAAGTGAGTCCTGCCCCTATTTTACGAACTTCTTGCCATCATTGTTAAGTGAATCGCTGCTGTTGTTACATTAGCAAACTGTGGTTAAGTGAATCTGGCTTCCCCTTTGACTTTGTGAGAAATTTGCAAAAGGCGATCACGTGACCAGGGGACTACAACCGTCATAAATACGAACTACTTCCCAAGCATCTGAGTTTTGATCATGTGTCCCTGGGTGAGAATGGTCACAAGTTGCTTTTTCAATGCCGTGGTAACTTAATGGTCACTAAATGAATGGTTGTAAGGTGAGGACTACCTTTAATCGAAGAAAGGTCAATTGACTCCCCCAAAATAAGACCCTGTCTTATATTTTTTGCCACCTGAAACAGGCACCAGGTCTTATTTTCAGGGGATGTCATCCACTGACTAACCTCACTTGTGCGCGTCGCCCCCGGCCTCCTTTTCGCTGTCAGAGGCCTTCAGGAACCTCTTCTGCAGCTAGCAAAGCTTTCCTGAAGGCCTCAGCAGCTGATTAAAGAGCTCCGGATCGATCCGGAGCTTTGTTGTTAGCCACAGAGGCCTTCAGGAAAACCTTGCCAGCCTTGCCGGCTGCAGAAGAAATGGGCCGGGAAGGCAGGTTTCAGGATGTGCAAGGCCTGGCTACAACTGTCCAAAGGTAAGTAGTAGGACAGCTCCACCCTCCACCCCCACCCAACCTAAATTTTTACCTGTGCACTCTGGAGTGGGCGAGTTCTTAATTAGGGCTTATTTTGGGGAGGTAGGGCTTATATTGGGCACACATGTAAAAATCAAACTAGGACTTACTTTCAGGGGAGGTCGTATTTTCAGGGAAACAGGGTAGTCCTCTCTGTTTTTAAAGAAGTTCTGAGGTCTACACTCGAGGCTTTCATAGGCTGTCCCTTAAAATGAACCCTAACCCTGGATTTTACCTTTGTTGTCGTGCCAGATACGCACTTTGCAGAGATCGCCGAGACTGAAGATGTCAGGAAAATAGAAGACATCCAGCTGGTTCCTTTCAAACTTGTTGGATTTGTTCGATTCCTTCAAAGCCAAGGTCCCACTGTCCCCGTTCTCTCCCCAAATAATCATGGAGACGTTGGCATCTGTTCCAGCACCTGCAGGGAAAGCCACGGGAGAAAAACAGCTATCAGAAGTCGTCTACGGAGCAATGGTGGGATGCTGCCGGTTTGGACTGGTTCATGCGAACCGGTTGTTCTAATGATCAGCTGGCCCCGCCCACCCATCCTGCCCTATCCTGTCCTTTATTTCCTGCTTTGTAGCTCATCTCAATCGTGCGGCAGAGCTCATTTCTTCCCCCCTCTCACTGTTCTACCATTGCTGACTTGGAAGGTAAGCAGCTGAGCTTCTAAGTGCCCCATTTTCAGCGCTGCGCGCAAGCGCCTTAGGCACCTGCGCATGTAAAGCCCGCGTACGTGTGCAAAGTATGAGCTCACCAAACCAGTTGTTAAACTGGCAGCATCCCACCACTGCTTATGGAGCCTCTCCATAATCCAGGTTGTCCCAAAGGTGCTTTTCCAAAAGGCAACTGGAAATGCTTAGTTATTTTTTGCTTAGTTATTTTTTTCTTCCTTGAAATGAAGCTTCTTGGATGAAAAGCGAAACCTTTTCAAAGAAAACAAACAAGCAAACAAAACAAGAAAGTCCAGTTCAGGGGTGGTTTCAGCAAGTTCTGACCAGTTCTGGAGAACCGGTAGTGGAAATTTTGAGTAGTTCGGAGAACCGGCAAATCCCACCTCTGACTGGAGATTTTACAGTATCCTTTCCCCTGCCACGCCCACCAAGCGACGCCCACAGAACCGGTAGTAAAAAAAAAATTGAATCCCACCACTGGTCCAGTTGCCTTTTTGGGAAAAGCATCTTTGGGCATCAGAAGATGTTCGTGCTGGATGAGGGAGCTGCAAGTCCACAGGCAGAAATAAACAGGATAGGCTATTCTACATTTTAATGTAGAATCCACCAAGGGTTTATGCACCGTCTAGTTGCCCATTGTGGACTGTTGACGTAATTCTTGTCTGATAACTAATGATGAAGGCAACTCTGTACATTTGAGCAGGGGATTGGACAAGGAAGTCTCCCTAAGGGAAGAAAACTCCCCAGGCAACCCTGCATGAAACAGATATTGAGGGCCTTGCTAGCTACATGTGAATTTAGACTGGATAGTTTTCCTCCTGGTTCAAGACCTGTTCGGTCTATTAGCTTCAGCCCAGGTAAATCTGAAAAAGCTGCTGTCCAAAGGCGGCAGGTCAAAATTAAGTTATCTTCCTATTGATTTCTTCCCTGCTGCTCAGCAACATCCCAGGAGCAGCTTTCAGAGATAGAAAGGATGATAGCAACCGTATCCTCTGCTATTACAGGTCCATCCAACCAGTTAAAAATATAAATCCTTCTTCTGCTTCTCCTTCTTCTCCTCTCTTCTCCTTCTTCCTCTCCTCCTTCTCTTCTTTTTCTTCTTTTTCTCCTTCCCCTCCTCCTCCTCCTCCTCTCCTCCTCCTCATCTCCTCCTCATCCTTCCTCATCTTCTTTCTCTTCTTCTTCCTTCTCTTCTTCCTCTTCTTTTTCTCCTCCTCCTCCTCTTCCTCTCCTCCTCCTCATCTCCTCCTCCTCCTTCCTTATCTTCTTTCTCTTCTTCTTCCCCTTCTCTTCTTCTTCCTCTTCTTTTTCTCCTCCTCTTCTTCCCCTTCTCCTCCTCCTCTTCCTCTCCTCCCCCTTCTTCTTTCCCTTCT